CCGGTGCCCGGTGCCCGCCCAGACAGCCCGCTCTGAAGAGGTGCCAGCGCCGTGTCCGGGCCCCGCCAGCCCGGCTCAGGGGGGCACCGGGGCCGCGGTGACTCTCGTGCTCACTGACGGGCTTTTCCCTTCTCCCCTCGTTCACAGCCCGTCTGACAACACGGAAAGTCTTAAAACGCCCTTGTCTGCGGGAAACTCGCACAGTAAAAGCTGTGTCTGGCATTCACGGCCTGTACAGAAGCACCAGGCTTCCTTCGGGGTGCTCTGAATATTACTTGAGGTTTGTTTTTTTTTTCTTTTCAGAAATGGTGGAATTCCAGAAAATAGTGAGCAGCTTAATTGAACTTGTTGATCAACTGGCAAAAGCTACGGAGAGTGAGAAGATGAAGGTACCGTGCAGTTAGTGACGGGCTTGGCGCGGGCTCCGCTGGGTGCTGTGCCTGATAAAGCAGATCTCACCCTTCCTCCCTTTACAGCAAAAGCAGCGTTTTCCTGTCAGCCTCGTGCAGGTGTTTCCCTGGTGGTTGACATCTCTCTGGCTGCAGTACGAGAGCTGGGGGCTTTTTAATGGGCATTAACTCCAGAGGAATTTTACAGGCACACTCGGTGCCTCGTTACTCCCGTGTTTAACAGTCCCCCTGGTGCTGCTCATCTGCATATTTGCTCATGAACAGAACAGTCACCAGTGATCAGTTTGTGGTTCCAGAGTGGTGGCTTCTGTTCCTTGGGTTTGAAGGAAATCTCAAACACCCTGATCTGCCCAACCTCTACAGGGAGCTTCTACCTGTTCCACCAGCCATTCACAATTCAGACGTCACCCTCTGTTAGTGTGGCTGAAACGCTTCAAAATCGACTCGCTAATAGCAAAGGGGTTAAAAACATAAAAATCCCTGAGCAGCATCACTGACTGTCCTGTTTTGACAGGCCATCGGTGCACGGAATTTGCTCAAGTCCATGGCAAAGCAAAGAGAAGCTCAGGAACAGCAGCTTCAGGCTTTAATAGCTGAGAAGAAGATGCAGTTGGAGAGGTAAGTTCTGTGTTAAGGGACTTGTGGGGCCTTGCACAGGCTGGAAAGTCAATCTCACCGCCTGTGCTTGGCTGTGGACACTTGTTCAGAGCCCCTGTGCAGCCAAGGCGTGTCCTGCACAAAGCACACGTGGAGCCGTGCAGAGCCACAAGCCTGGAGTTCACTCCAGGCGCTGCCTCGGCTCATCGAGGCGGACAAGTCCGCTCTGATCTTTGTGGCTAAAGAAACAGAGGCGGCACGAGACCGCGCGGTTAGAGAAATGAATAAACCCGTGACAGAGAGAGGAGTAAAGGCCCCTCAGAGCCACAGGGTCCAACAGCCCCTGCCTGGGGTGACTCACTCACACGCAGCCCCTGCCTGGGGTGACTCACACGCAGCCTGACTCTCCTTCCCCACAGACCAGGGAACGTTGGACCGGCCCGGCCCGTCCAACACGGGCTGACGTAACCATTTGGTTTTTTCTTTCAGATACCGAATAGAATACGAGACTCTGTGTAAAATTGAAGCAGACCAGAACGAATTCATTGACCAATTCATTTTTCAAAAATAGAGGATTTTAAGATAAAAAAAACTAACTTGGAAACTTGACCATTCCAGAATCTCAAGAATTTTTAAAATATGCAATTTTTCACTGTGTATGAACGAAGAGATGGGTTGTACACATGGAAGGGTCTTTTAATTCAGTGTGATTTACACTAAGCGTGGCAATAAGGAGGGCTTTCCAACTGCTGTAAAGACTGTTCTGGCCTTTGATTTTATAGAAGTTTTGTACAGTCAGTAGTTTTAACTCAAACTGCAGTTGAATTAATACTACTGTTGCTATGTTATGTCTCTCACTTTTTGCAGTGTACAGCTCTTTCAGAGAAATCGGGTAATAAATTCTTGTTTTCAGACTTTCTGGATATACCTTAAGAAGTTGTTTCTGCTATGTTATTTTTGAGCTTTAAAGTTTACAGCTCCCTGGCTAGTCATGATGATTTTCCTATGTGTATTATTTTTCATGTCTGTGAAGACACAACACAGAAGCAGCAGTAACTTTTATCTATATTGACCAGATCCTTTTTTCTATACAGGTAGGAAAACACCCCAGAAATTTATGATTAACAGAGCAGATCAATTGCAGACACAGAAAAAAGCAGAAAATACGTCAGAGTTAAGAACTTTATGCCTGAGGTATGTCCACACAGGTAGTAACGTCAGAGTAGAATTCTCTCACGGGCGTTATTTGGGACAAACCATTCTGATCGCACAGTGACACGGGGAGCACATATAAACTATAAACATGAGAGTGACATTCGGGAATGGAACGCCTGTGATCTGCAATCTGCAAACAGATGCGTTTTATGTCTGTCTTGAGGCAACCAGATATGGAAACGTTTAAGTTTTTCACCAGTGAAGTTCTGACATAAATAGGCAGTGACTGAAAAGGCTTCTCGATGACCTGTCATCTTACACAACTCTCCAGGTTTGATTCTTGTAGATCAGATTGAGAACTTAAAAAACCCAAAACATCAGCCCAGAATTTCTGTCAGGAGTAGGTTTTATTTCCTGTAACTTATGGATATATTTACTGTGTGAACTATCTGCAATCACATGGTCATTTTAAGTTCCTTTTAGTCATTCCCTTAAGAAGATTAAATGCAGTTTAATGCATTTAGTTGTTCATTTTCGTACTAGAAGTGATTTCATGGAAGACAGAAATTTACAAATCCTTGTTTCCATCTCCTTAAGTACTTCAGAATCCTCTAGGAAGTATGTCTCCTTGTCAAACAAAGGTCACTTTAAGCATTCAGAAATCCAGATTTTTGGCACATTTATCACTGATCAGACATTTACAATTAAAAGTGAAGCAGAGCAAAGGAAGGTGAAATTTGAGAGGAAGGGGGAGGAGGTTAAGAATTATTCTATGATTGGAAGTGCCTCAGAAGCGTGGCGTTGCAGATCTGTATTAATCAGTTAAGGATTTTGCAGACTATGCTCTTGGAAGACAAATTTCTTAAGTGATTTTCTAACAGTTATGTTGGAAAAAGGGAACTTGAAAGAAAGGTACCAGCTGTAGCCCCCCCTCCCATCACGCAGTTACACACCACGTGTTCCAGGTTCATTTTCCCGTTAGCGATGGACTGCCCAGAAGTGACAGCGGGAGAGGAGCGTGGTCCCTGCGCCTGCGAGCGCCCAGAACCGCGTGGGACCGGGAGTGCAGGCACCTGCCAGAGCCATTTCTGATTAAAGGAGAGCTGCCAACACAAACCCATTCGAGTTTCCCTTGCAGGAGCCAGATGCTCTGCTCGTAGCTGTTGCAACCAACAGCAGGAGAGATGTTTGTCCCAGGGGACTGTGTCAGCACAGGGTCTGAATCAAAACCAGTAGGAGTGGTGAGGGTACAGTGGTTAGAGTGGACTATTTCCTTTTCCTTTTCTCCACGTGGTTATAATGGGGGTGGCAGAGCATGGTGAACAGAATCAGAAGCGGTATCAGCAAGTAGGGGACGTACACGGACAGCAGAACGAGGCGCTCGCGTTGTGTCTGAGGTCCCAGATGCTCAGACTTGGAGAAATCGTGGAAGAGGATATGTGCCAGGATAGCACACAGAGTTGTAGCCACATGGGTGGAGTAGATAATTGCAGGAGTCCTTATCCATTTGCAGCCACCTGTACCAAAGCAAAAAGGAAACAATAGTGAAGTATTGTGAAACAAGCAGAATTCAGTGGCTTTTAAATTAACAGAACGTTAGCTGCTCTATCTCTGACAGGATGAGCTGCAAGTCGTATTACACAGGTAGCAGAAAAAAACAGGTACTAGTAGCAACTGAGGAAAGTTTTCTGCCTTTAGGAAATTTGGAATGATGGTGTCATTGTGAAAGTTTTAGAGTAATAAAAGGAGTGCACAGCTTGACCTAGAACTTTATCTACCTTGGCAGCGCCTCAGATGTCAAACCTTGATGCTGGTTACATGTAAATGGCTGCAGTGGGAAGGGGCTTTTGTTTCTGACAGGCCTTGTTCTGCGCTGCTTTCTCAGACGACACTTGCCATGAAAGCAGCCCAGCACACCATTCCACGTGGTACCTCCCTGTAATTGCTTAAGCCTGATGAAGAAACTCTCTGTGCTGTATGTACAGAAAGGAAGTGTTACACAGAAGTGCTGCACAGGACATACTCTGACACTTGTTTCATACCAACCTTTTAAGAAGGCGTACGCTGCAACGGGGAAAAAAGGCATTTGTAAGAAAGCTTCGCAGTAGATGAACGCCTTGAACCACTCTGGGGGCTGGAGCATCATGGGGTCTTTAAAGGCAGCTGTGTACCACTGCAGCAGCTCTGCCAGCTGAAGAAAAAGAACAAACCAACAGATTCATACAGAGTGTCAGCCGTGATGGGGGAAAAACTGACCCTCATCTGGCAGTCCCACTGTCACTGCCGTGGTGACCTCACCTTGGTACACACAGCTTCAGCATGCAACTCAGTTTTGGTTGGGCTGTAGCAGGGGCAGGGGCTGTGGCTGTAGCAGGGGCTGCATTTCTGCAGCCTGCACAGCGCTGAACCCTCTCCATTAATTATACATTAAATAACTGCTGCTGGCTGCTGTTGCTGTGCCAACAGCTGGCTGCCAGGGTATTGGCTTCACGAGTTACAATGAGTTTCCATGACAGAAATGTAAATTCCAGCCTGGCTTTAAGGTGGACTTTGAACGGAGAGATAGGAATTGAGATTTGCTAGTTAATTATTAATTAAAAATGGTTTCTATGATGGAGGAATTCTATAGGCAATTCTAATGGCAAAAATCAAATTCACTAATTGCAAAGCTCAGATAGGAAGTTATGGCTGATTTCCCCCTGATGATGCGAGTCAAACTGATTATCTTCTATCCAACTATTATTTTAATTGATTTTATGATGTTTATTGTCTTCTGAGAGTTTATTCAAAGCCCAGCCAACCAGAGATTTTTACTGATGAATCTGGTCGCTCGCACACCCGCTTCTGCAGCGGCAACAATTCACTTCCACATCTCTGGCAGGAGCAGGAGTGAAAACCTGTCTGACAGCGGCCTGGGCAGTGACAGCGGCCCGGGGAGTGACAGCGACCC